CTGAAATTTGAGGTAATCATTCTTTGCAGTTTGTGGTCTAAGTTGGGCCAACCTTGGGCCCACCATTCTGCACTGCTCAGTCTTTCAGTTCCAGCCAAGTCCACATAGAGTCACCACTCAGGAAGCTACTATCTTTAAGATCATTACTTTTATTAATACAGTTTTAGCCCTCAAAATCAAAATGATTTCGGAGAATTATAATTTAAGCAATAAAAGACTGTTTCAAACTTAAAAGATAGGGAAGATTATTACATCATGGGATGCTAAAAGTTATTTGCAATTAATTCCACTAAAATAAGAAATATAATTCTTAAAATCTGTGCTTAGGGTGCTTTAGTTCTTTGGTTTTTGCTAATTTATTTCACAACATAAGGAAAATATGTGCTCATGTCTTCATGATAGAAGGAAGTTTTACAACTTTGAACAAAGTACTCACTGAAATTAGAGCCTTGTTCCTCCCCAAAACCTAAAACCTAAGGGTACTATGTTTTTTAATGGTTGCAATTCCATGGCATGGCTCTCAAAAAATGTTGTGTTGTAAACAAACAGAGAACATTCTAAAGTGTTTCATTAGATAAAAGGAGCAAATAAAGAACTTGTAATTTTTCACAAGTATTTATTCCAAGAAAAGCTTTATACCTTTTGGATTAAGAATCCAAAAGACTATATAAAGTTACCTCTTTAAGGTTGTCATGATCATAGACATGAACCAATTCTGAAAAGCCAACTTGTCCATAAAATTTATGTAAGTTTAAGTGTAAATTTAAAAAAACCTCTTTCAGAACTCAGCAGCTTGCGGCAGAAATGTGAAAGGACTATATGTTAAACTATGGCGCCGTGCCCTCCCTCCCTCCCTCCCCACCCGGGGCAGTTTCTTCCTCCTCCAACCCACCCCCACCCCGGGCAGTTTGGTGGCTGCCACCTCAGAGCTTATTGGATAGCCAGGTATGAGCCAGCGATGATGAGGCAACTACAGCCTCATGGGATGGGGGGGCAGAACCTGCACGTCCTTCACACCCTACTGAGGTCACAAGTTGCCCTCCACGAGCAGCTCTCTTGCACGGCCGTGGCTCCAGAGGAACACAAACCAATCTCATAATTATCAGGCTTTTGGCAGAAATCCCTCCAGACTTAATTACTAAAATATCAGAAATCCAAAATCATATGGTCTGCATAACCAGCAATAGAAAACAAATTATTTCACAATGCCTTTTCAGCAGTTCTGATTGTTGGGAGGAAAGTCCAAATAATAATGGTGCATCTTTTGTTGAAATAATGAATGTAATCAAAGTAGAGAGAGAGAGAGGTAAGTAGAAATCATATGCCTCACAGCCATCGAGGGTGATGGGAAGGGGGGTATATTGGGGTTCTTGGTAGTGAAAAATGTGCACTGGTGAAGGCATGGGTATTTGATCATTACATACTGAGACTTCAACCTGAAAGCTTTGTAACTTTTCTCACGGTGATTCAATCAATAAATTAATAAAGAAAGAAACTTCTAAAAGACACTTATATTCTAATTAATTCTAATGCTTGTATATCAAGTAAGTTTTGACTTCTAGCAATCAAAGAAAATTTTCAGTCATATTTTTAATTCAATAAATACGTTTCTTCATTTATTTGGACTTGGACATATTGTATATTGAGAAAAAAATACATATAAGAGGTAAATATACTCCATTGGATAGTATGTGTTGTTCTCTGTTATTATTGAAATTAATTTTTAAAAATCTAAATTTTGCCTGATGAACTATGAATAATGAAATTTTATTAAAATGTCTAATTTGTTTAGGTACATGCATTGCCTAGTTATCCAATTATTCTGACAAAATTACAAATGAAGAAAGTTAAATTTGTTAAATTAAGAGAGTCACTGAACTAATTAAGATTGGTGAAGCATATTATTTGGGAAAGATGATAGCAATGCAAAATGTACCCATTCGTTTATTTTGAAATTTATATACCCATTGACACATATCTCAGAAATCAGAAAACAGTTAAAATAAAAAAATAAACAAGCGAACAACAAAGAATATTGTTAGAAAAATACATGATATTCTAAAAAATAATAAAATAATGCATGATTTTCTCATTTTATGAGTAAACTGTTGTTCATTAATAAGCAGAAACAAAAACAAAATAAAAATATGACCATCTAAACTTTTATAAATCATGTTTAAATTAAAAATAGAAGGGCTAGGTGAATAAAATTAACTTTAGTCATATTAATTTCTATTTTAGCTTATTTATTATGAAGATAGAAATAAATATATAAATAATTTGCTAAAATAAAATGTTTAAAGCGTGGGAAATGAGAGAATTGAGAACTATCAAAATGTACATATTGATCATGGTATTCACTTTGCAGCACAGTGGTTAGAGTAGTTGAATGACCTTTTGGTTATTAGGTCCTAAATCTACAAAAATAACATAAAAATATCAACTCAATCACTACATTTTTAAATTTATTTCAATTAAACTTGAACCCCAGACAATAATAGAAACATAGACAATAATCAGAAAATTTTATTCCACAAGTACATGTAAAGGTGAAGTGCAAAACTATGATCTAATTTATAACATTGACACTGCTCTATGAATAAGGCCATTAATTAGCTTTGTGGTGCAGAGATATAGAAATTATTTTTTCCAGTTTCCCGATGATACACTCCCAATTAATCCAATAACTTATTTTTACATTTTATTACTATAACATTGAATTATAGAGTTTAAACTTGTATACTCTACTTGATGTGATAGCACAGTGGTAGGGCATTCGCCTTACAAGCGGCCAATATGGCCGCCCCGAGTTCGATTCCTCCACCCCTCTCGGAGAGCCCGGCAAGCTACCGAGAGTATTTGATATGCCAGACACAATAACAACAAAGTCTCCAATGGAGACGTTACTGGGCCCGCTCGAGCAAATCGACATCAACGGGAGGGGCCTCGAGCAAACTTGTATACATTTTTGCATTATAATTTTACCACACTGAGTATATTCCTGAGTGTCAATATCCCTCCACTCGTGTCCATTTTACTCCTTGCCACCCACTTAGCACAGTCATCTAACTCCCGTTAGTGACCTATATTCGTTCAAGTCTTTGTGATGGTTTCATTGGTCAATTTTCCTTCCTTCCTTCCTTCCTTCCTTCCTTCCTTCCTTCCTTCCTTCCTTCCTTCCTTCTTTTCTTCCATCTTCCCTTCCTTCCTTTCCTCCTTCCTTCGTTCCCTCCATCCTTCTTTCCCTTCATGTAAGTTTAAGATACGTGAGACAATTTGGGACTTTGTTTTTCTGATATCTCTCTCTTTTGGATGAGAATTAGGATGCCTAAGTGTCCTCTGGCTATTTTCTGTCACGAACATAGTTATAGGCTTGAGGAAAAGGTGCTGCCTGGGTCCACAGGACTTGGAAATACCTGGAACACTCTACTCATACTCAAGGTCTCCAGGCCTGCTGCTGGCAATGCTGGGGTAGGTGAAATGATATGGTGCTCTATCTGAAACCAAAGTAAGCTCCATGCAAACCATCGCCCTAATTATCTTTCCAGTGCTTTTTCATATACTTCACTTAAAATGATTGCCTGCAATTTCATCCATATTTTAAAATAAGGCAGTAGTTCATATTTTCTATAGTTGAGTAATTTTTCAGCATATATTAAATGCATACATCATATTTTGTTAATTTTCCCATTTGTTATTGACCGTTGAGTTGATATCAAATATTGATATTGAAGAAAAAAATTAAGTAATGCTTTTGTGTGCCTTGAATAGAATAGAATTTGTTGATTATATAACAGATCTATTTTAATCATTTGACATTTTCAATGAAAATTTTCCAAATTACCTTCCTACAATGTATGGATGTTAGTGTCAGGGATCAAATCCAGGTATTTTTTAAAGCAAGAAGCCAGTTACATCGCAATGATTTTTTTTTTATCTACTGTGTCTGTGAAAAAAAAATGTAGTTCTTTAAATCTACAAATAATCTAGGCATATTGTTATTAATTTAAAGTATCTTGTGTTGAAACTTCAAATATATAATGGCATTCTTTCCTGGACTAAATGTAGAACATATTGAGAATGAGAAATCTACTTGTAGTGTTTCTGTAATTAATTTTTTTTTGCTGATTTTTAGGATTTTCTTAGATTTACTTTTAAGGAAACCATATTTTAAACAGTATTGATACATAGTAAATATATGAAAAGAGAACAGGTGTGGGCTCAAAGTGAGATTCATGGGTTAGATAAATTGTTTATTCTTATTTCCAAAGCTATGTTGTATTTTGGGGGCAGGAGAGGTCCACACCCAGAAACACTCAGGGGTTATTCCTGGCCTGCACTCAGGAATCACTCTTGTGGTTCAACATGTAACAATTACTATGGAATAATGTAAAACTGCAAGACAAGTGCCCTACATGCTGTGCCATCTCTCTGGCCTCAAACACATTGTATATTAAAACGTTTAAATCCTTAACTAACTGTTAAATCCTTAACTAATAGTGAATTTTTTATATTTAAAAGAATCTCTAATTAAAATTATACCTTGCATTACTATGTTTAAAGGAAAAAATACATGTAATGCTACCAGTTAAACATGCATAGTTTATATATGTAAATATATAATTTAATATACAAGAATATAAACCAACACTTTAGTTTTTTATTAATTTATATACTTAATATAAGGCATGCAGATAATGTTAGTTGTTGAGTGACAAGATATCATTGCATCTCTATGAAAATATTTATATTGCCATCCAATTTTTCTCCATTTATATATGTACTTTTGTTTGCTTTGGAGAAAACTGCCAGGCTAATGACATTTAGAGTGATGACAGAATCATCTGTCAGCCTTCTCTGTAATTCTCTCCAGGCTCTGGCAGACAAATATGTTTTCACTTGCTATAAAAAATTAAATACCTAAACAATATAAAAATAACCTTAAGGTTCAGATAAAATAGGTTAAAGCAAGGACATTGAAAGTCAATACATCCTTTTTATTTAAACTTGCCTTATTCAATTTTACAGATTTTTAAATGTATAATTCTTTAAAAAAAATTCTTAAAATCCTACAGAGGGGAAGGAGAGAAAAATAGAGCCAGCAGGAAGATTGTTCTGCATGCAGCCAACCAGGGTTAAATCCCTAGCACTCCATATGGTCCCCAAGCACCACGAGAAGTGACACCTCAGCACAGAGCCAGGAAGAAGCCAGGTATGACAAAAAAAATAAATAAAACAACAAAAATATTATAGAGGACAAAGACATACAGTATCCTAATAGCAGACATATATGTCTTAATAGAATATGAATCATTGATTTTAAGGAAGGTAACCAAAACAAAATAAAATTTAAGTGCATTAAAGTATCAGAATTATGACAAGAAATTGGTCAATAATTGATAATTCGTAATTCTTTAATAATATTGATAATGTTTCAGTGTATTAGTATAATATATTTAGCAGTTCTGGTTCTCATACATACCCTGAGAGTCCAGAGTTACAGACATCCCAGAAATAATAATAAAATTATTATATGTCTGTCCAATAATTAATGCCCTTTTGTTGGGCTGCAAAAACTGATTTATTTAAAGTGTCTTCTTTTTCCAGCAGGGGATATGGTTAACCTCTTCTCCGGCTCATTGGAGGTGAAAGAGAAAGGGGACTTAAAGGGAAAAATGTGAGAAATTGTGAAAGGAAAATATGTCCTGAAAACTATGATTTGTGTTAACTGAAACTGCATAAAATAGAACATTATTTCCTCATCAAAAATTCTTCTAATTTATGTACTTAGATTTTATGATAATTGTTCATTGTTAATTTTAGGTTATCTAAAATCTTCAAACTACAACCATATTGTGTCCTTTATAAAAATCATCCATACTTGGCTACCTGCTAAGTCTGTAATCATTATTTTTGCTCCAAACATCTAATTCTTTCTTACAAATAGCTTGGAATTTTTTCTTTCTGAAAAAAAAAAATAAAACAAAAAAACAGTCCAAGTGCCCTAGTGCTGTTTATACTCCAATACATCACGGAGATCTGTACTATTATTCTAATAGGTCTGTGTGGTTCCACATGAAAATCTTTACTGAAACCCAAACAATTAAAAAAATCTATTTTTTATGAACAAGGCTTCTGAAACAGTGTTTCACTTTATATATTTGCAAAATGATGCTATCATATATTATGCTAACAGTGCACTCATGAATTTCCACATTGATTCAAAATTTCTATATTCAAGTTACACTAATTCTTTTTTTTTGAGTAGTTTTCTTCCATTCTCCTTCCAAAATATTTCTCCTGCGTTTATCTTCTCATTTTATCCAGTTACCTCTAATTCTCACTTAATTCTAACTTAAGTGTCAGCACTTTGTTTAGTTTATTCCTCAAATGCCTAAATTACATTTATCTGTCTGTTATACACTCATAGAGAAGCCTGACATTTCTCTGCAAAACCTGAATACACAAAGGATTATTTATTATCTTTTATACTTGTGAGATCCATGGGGCCAAACATATATAGATATTTTTACCTCTGTAATATATAAATGTGTTAAAATGTAATGATATCATAAATATATTTCAATATGGGTCGAGTCAGTGCTTAGCTCTATAAAGAATTATTTTAATGGTTAAATATCAAATAACAAGTTCAAGAGAATTCTATGACTTATGGTTAATGAGTTTTATTTCTGATAAATATACAGCTTTGCATTCAGAAATTTCAGATCCTCTAATCATTGTTTATCTATTTAACCGGTGGTGTTTATGGTGGGGACTGGGGATAACATACACCTGCAGTGTTCTGTGGCAACTTCTGGTTATGTGAAATTCCTTCAAAGTGTTTGAAATAGAGGGGAAATAAGTTTTATATAATGTATATCATATACTGATTGATGGTGATATTTTGCTTAAGGTTATCAATAGAAACAAATTTTGGATCAAGACCCAAATAACCATATTGTTTAATCTCGAAGATAATGATCCCATTTATTGAATAAGTCTAAAGTTATGAAGTCTATTTCTCTTTTTTGGAAATTCTGATTTCAGACATACATAAAGACATCTTTGAATATTAGAGAAATATTCTACTAAACCATTTTTATTCTGACCAACTGTACACAAGTTACTGTTCCTGATGCCATTGCCAAACATTTTAAATTATATTTTATTAAGTAGCATAGTGAGAGAGAAATGATATATCATTTTATTTTATTTCCTGATAATTAGTGTTACTATCTTCTCAAACTCTTATAGGCTAACTGATGTCTCTTCAGAGAATGTCTACTCAAGTCACGTTCTTTTTTAAATTGTGTTATTGTTCCATTCACTTGTAAAAATACCTTATTGATTTTAGATACTGAATCTTTATCTTTTATTTGTTTTACAAATATGTATTTCACTCATTCTGCCATGCATTATTTTTACATGTAATTTAAAATATACTAAAATTTCTATAAAGATTTTCACACCTGAGCATAGAGTGAGGCACCTTAGCACAGTCATTGAGTGACACAAAAGACTAAAAAATAAATAAATTATTTGTATATCACTATCACTATCGCCCCGTTGTTCATTGATTCTCTTGAGTGGGCACGGTAACATCTTTATTTGTCCCTGTCACATGCTAGTGTAGCCCGATGACATATTGGGGGCTCCTTCAAGATCAGGGGAATGAGGACCATTCATTGTTACTGTTTTTGACATATCGAGTATGCCACGGTTAGTTTGTCAGGCTCTGCCGTGCGGGTGGGATACTCTCTGTAGCTTTCCGGGCTTTCCGAGAGGGATGGAAGCTTTTGGGGCAGCCTCTAATCACCTTTACAGGTGTTCCTAGTCAGGCATATAGGTGAGTATGACACTCTCAGTAGCCTGCTGGGTTCTCTGAGAGTGAGAACTAGAGAATAAGAGGTTGCACGGCTTCCAGGAGCATGGTTTTAGAATCTCTGGATCCTGGCCATTGATGGGGTTATAAGGCAGTTGGTGGGTGTAACTGTCTAGCTACCGGAAGGTGGGATAACTGGGTGGAGGAGGCCTAATCCTGAACCGAGCAGACTTGGAGATCTCAGCCCTAGGTTCTGCACACCTGGATTCCTCTGCTAGTTCCTCGTCCAAGCGTGTGGAGAGTGGTCTCAGCATGGCTTTGGCTGGGTCCCGGAGGTCCTCAGCTGTCGGGGCTCTGCTCAGGGCAGAGAGGGAAACTCAATCCGCCCTCCTCCAAGGGGCCGCAGTGATGACTGTCAGGCGCGGGGGTAGGAGACTGCCTTGTTCTCTTCTGGGAGCTTGGTTTTAGAGTCTCTGGATCCTGGCTGTTGATGGGGTTATAAGGCAGTTGTTGGGTGTAACTGTCCTACTGGAAGGTGGGGGAGTTGGGTGGAGGAGGCCCAGTCCCAAATGGATCAGGCTTGGAGCTCTCAACCCGAGTACGCACGCCCGGGTTCCTCTGCCGGCTCCTCATCCAAGCATGTTATATATATATATATATATATATATATATATATATATATATGCATATATATATAGCAATAAAAAATAAGGATCCCAAATCGGTATATAATTTTCAGAGGGAATAATAAGACTGAAAGTATCACACAAAAATTTCAATATTTTTAAAGGTAAAGTAAATAAAACAGTATATTACTATCATAAAGAAAGATGTGAGATACAGCCGAAGAGAAGGGCCACATGGAGGGCGGGATCCACAGCTCCCGGAGGGAAAAAAAAAAAACAGGTTCCAAAAAGAGCCGAGATCATCGGGAAGTCCCAGACGGGGTAGGTACCGCATCCAGCCTCCCCCAGATGGAACCCCGGTGACCAGAAGCCTCTGCAAGCACAGCTCGAGTATGCGGGAACTAGGACTTTTACTCAAAACCGCGTGGCCACTTATGCGGCCACGCGACATCTCTCTATATACAAAGTGATAAATGGGAAGTAAACCACCCAACATTTCTCCCTGAAAATCAGAGTTAAGTTTGGAGCACGGCCACAGCCCCAGAAACACAAGGACTTAATGCAGAACCCAGCAGCTTGGAGCAGAAAAGTGAACGGACTATGCATTAATCCTGGCCATCAAGTCTGCCAGAGGGGAAAGGGTGTTGCCCCATTCGTCCTCTCTTCTCTGGAAAGAAGTATGGCGGCCACATGGGAGCCTTGTTGACAGCAGGTATGAGCCGGGGGTGTCGGGGCGACTAAAACCTCATGGAAAGGGGGGCATTCCGGTCTGTCCTTCACGCCCTACCAAGGTAACCAGTTGCCCCCCACGAGCGGCTCTCCAGCACGGCCACGTCTCCAGAGCACAGAAACCAATTTCTTAACTATCTGACTTTCATTAGAAATACTTCCAGGGTCAATAAGTAAAATAGCAGAAATCCAAAACCAACATTTAATTCTTGAACCCAGCTGTAGAAAGCAAATCACTTCACAATACTTTTTCAGCATGTCTGATTTGGGGGGGGGGGCGGGTAAACTCTAAATAATAGTGGTGAATCTTTTATTGAAACAATGAATCTAATCAAAGCAGATAGAGTGTTAACTAGAATTCATCTGCCTCACAGGGACTGGGAGGGGTGGGGGGTGGGGTTTTATTGGGGTTCTTCATGGTAAAAAATAAGTATTGGTAAAGGGAAATATATTTGATATTTGCATGACTGAGACCTAAACCTGAAAGCTTTGTAACCTTTCCCACAGTGATTCAATAAATAAATAAAAAAATAAATAAAATAAAATAAAATAAAAAAAGGAAGATGTGATACCTATTAAATAGAATAACTCAAAAATAAAAATATTCATCCTTTTATGGATTTAGGATCATTAATAAGGGTTCCAAGAATACATGAAAAATCGTCCTTTGTTCAATAGAGAACCTCCTTCAATACAGACTTAAGTATTCATCCTTTAACTTTTTGGGGGGTCAGAGGGGCACTTCTGACTATGCTAGGGGGCTATTCCTGCTCTAAACTCTGGAATCACTCCTTATGAGGAGCAAACATGCATCAGCAATGTGCGAGCCAAACACTATGGCTCTGTCCCAAGAATCATCCTTTATGAAAAAAGCTTATAGCTCCTTTATTATATCCAGATATATATATGTACATATATATGTATATATATATATGTAGAAACACTTTTGTAAGCTCAGTTTTTCCCGTAGGTACCACATAAAAGACTAAAAAAAAAAAAGACACTGGATCGTGCTATAGTGTAAAAGGTCTG